GTTTGTTTTGCTTAGGACTAATCTCTTTATTAATCTACCCTCCTTCTTATTACCTTCTCATCTCTCCCCTTTTCCTCCTTTTCCCCTATTAAATGAAATACATTTCTTCACCCTAATCTGTACATGTGTGTCTGTGTATATTCTTCCCTCCTTGACCATTTCAGATGACAGTAAGATTCACATGATGCCTGTTTCCCCTACCTTTTCTTCCTTGTATGTATAGTCTTCTCCCAGATAATGCAATTATGAGAAAATTTTCTCCACTCTTCTCCCACTCCCATCCCCCAGTGTATTCTTCTTTATCTCTCTTTCTATTCTCTTAAGATCATCAAAACATTAAAAAAAAATCCTCCCAGACTCTCTGTCTTATTAAATTCCCTATGTGACCCCTGATGATATTAGTGTTCTGAGGGGGGTACTTGTATCATCTCCCTCTATTAGATTATAATCACTTCATCCTTGTTTAGTCTCTCATGGTTGCTTACTCATATTTACCTTCTTACATTTCTCTTGATGCTTGTGTTTGGATTCCAAAGTTTCTACTGAGTTCTAATCTTTTCATCAGGAATGACTAGAAGTCCTCTATTTCATTAAAGGTCTATTTCACTCCATAGGATTATGCTCAGTTTTGCTGTGTCAATTATGCTTAGTTGTAAGTTTTTTGTTATTGCCTTATAGAATATCATATTCCAAGTTTTCCATTTCTTTATTGTGGTGGCTGCTAAATCTTGTGTGATCCTGACTATGGTTCCTTGCTTCTTGAATTCTTTCTTTCTGGCTGAATGCAGTATTTTTTTTTTTCCCTTTGACTTGGACACTCTGGATTTTGACTATAATGTTCCCAGGAATTTTCATTTTGGAGTTTCTTTTAGGAAATAAACTGATGAATTCTATTTTTGCTTTTCTCTCTGTTTCTAAGAGACCAGAGCAGTTTTCTTTTAAGATTTTCTGCAGTATGATATCTAGGCCCTTTTTTTGGTCACAGCTTTCAGGTAGTTCAGTGATTCTTAAATAATCTTCCTTTGATCTGTATTCCAGATCAGTTGTTCTTGTTTGCTTTATCTTATACTTTCTTATTTTTTCCAGTCTTTTGACTTTGTTTTAATATTCCTTGTTGTTTCATACATTTATTGGCTTCTATTTGGTTCATCTTAATTTTCAGGGAGTCTGTTGCTTGGGTAAAGTTTGTATTTCTTGTGCCTAGCTGTTGGTCGTGTTTTGTTTTGTTTTGTTTTGTTTTTTTGCCTAGCTGTTAATTCTCTAATTCTATCTTGCATAGCAATAATTTCTTTTTAATTTTTTTCTAGTAGTGCTCTAATTTCATTTATAAAATCATTTTAAACTCAAAAAAACCCCAAACCACTTGCTTTATTTCTTCCAGGACTTCTATTTGAACCTGTGCCCAAATTATGTTTTTCTTTGAGGCTTTGTTTTTAGATTGTTTTGGAGTAATTCCTTTCTTCTGAGTTCATGTAGATTATTACCATAATAGCTTTTTATGGTGATATTCTTTTTTGCTTGTTTGTTTGCTGATTCTTCCAGCTTTACTTACTCCTAACCTTCAGACTTTGTGTTAGAGCCAGGCTCTGTATACCGCTGGAAGGAATGTCTGGGTCATGCTTGGTCCTGTTTTGTGTTCCCTTGGGTCCTTCTACTGCTTTCTTGGGATATTGAGTATTGTGTTATTCTAGGATTTTAAGAACAACTCAGGCTGCGCAGCTTTCAGTGTGACCTAAATAATGTGATCTAAGGTGAAGACTGATTACTGCCTCCTAATGTGAGCTCTACAACTTCCTAACCTGGGTTTGAATCTGAATAACACAACCGTCAGTTTGCCTTGGCTGCAGACATGGCTACTTTCAGCTGAAAAATCTGTGCAGTTTCAGGGGGACACAACTTTAGGATCCTCTTTGGATTGAGCTACCTATCCTGGTTATTTTGCTGCAGACTTCCAACTGGCCCTGCAGCCTGGGTCAGAACAGCACAACAGTTTCTTGCTTCTGTTTCTGATCCTTTCCTAATACCCAGCCTCTGGTCCACAACAATTCCTTGCCCTGGATTCAGGTCTCAGGTTCCTTCCTAATTCCAATGTGCATATGGTACCCACCTCTCAGATATGAGCAGCATTGATGCCAGTTGGTACCTCTTCCAATTCCCTGCATCAGACCACTCTGTGCTGGATTTAATACTTCTTGCCTTCTTGCATAGCCACAGATTCTTCTTCAGACCCTGTGCTGGAAACAGGCTCCTGGCTAGATACTTCACTCTCAGTGTTTGCAGACCTTTGTTTATTTCTCTACGTAAAAATGAGCTAGAAAAAAATTACTCTTGTGATTGTTTTTTCTTGGATTTTTTAATGAAGATTTGGTCTAGTGAATTTTGTAGATCTTTGTGAATTAGTTGTGAGAAGGAGCTGGTCTGTACTGCCATCTTGGCTGGTCCTGGTGGTTCATTTACAATGAAGGATAAGGATGATTAGGTTTGGTATCAGTGATTTATACTGGGGTTCCATGTCGTCTTCTTCACAAAATTTAAGGAGCTTAGAAGTTGCAGTTTCCCACAGGAGGCAGAGGCATAGTCAGGGCAGTAGGGAATCTATCTCTAGATTGAAGACCACAGTTCAAGTGGCCATGGATAGAGGGGAAGGGAAGCAAAGAATCCAGTTGGATTTGGCCAAGCACTTTGATCCCTCCCCTCCTTTTCCTTCTGTACTTTAAATATTAGGCTCAACTTGTATCCAGGGTTTTATGGGTAGAATACTAAGTACTTGTCTCTGGTCTTTATTTATACAATTCTGTTCTTTCATCAGGGATATGTAGGGGGTACTTAAAATTGCATTAAGACTTGGGCACATGCTGTATTTCTCCTGCTTCACCCAGGGCTGGTTTTACTGTGGAGATGGCTCATTGTGTTCCCAACAACTTTCCCTCCAGGGTTCCCAAGCTGAGCACTGATTGAATCTATTATATCCAGAACCACCTGACTTCTCTACTTCAGCCATTTTGCTCATAAGCTAAATAAGACGTTTGGCATTTATTGTACTTAAATCAATGTTATATACCTATATAGACAGAACAAATATGAATAGTCATGGAAAGACAAGGGAAGAAAGTAATCTGATAAGCAGACACTGAAATGTATGAGATCAAGTTTTCTGACTACATAGAGTAAGAGAGCGTCCTGCTTAGGTATCTTGAGAAAGCAGATAATAAAACCTTGGGCAGGAGGTGGGAGGAGGAGGAAGGGATAACTTCTGTGAAGAGGGGTTGTCTCAGCCAACTGGAGTTTTTACAACTGGTTCTCACAGTCCCTCTGGATGTAGGATTGGGAAACCTGTAGGGGGCAAAGTCATGAGCTTTGGAAATGGAAAGTCTATCTACCATTCAAATTCCAAGCCTTTCTCTCTCTTATCTTCTTTCTCCTTTCCAGAAGTCTCCAGGAACCAGTCACAGTCCACACAAGTGCAGCCTCAGAAGTTTTCCCCAAAGTATGAATTGCTGTGCATTCTGGGAATCTGACACCTCCGCTCTAACCGCCCCCCCTTCAACACACACACACACACACACACACACACACACGAACATGAGCTACAGTGGCTATCAACCTTGCTGGGGAATGAAAGGGAGAGTTGTACACATCAATCTTTGCTGAGCGTGAGAATTCAGTAAAAGAGCATGGGTTGTTTTTTTGTTTGTTTGTTCATTTTTTAAACTTGTCACCTTGATTCAATCTCTCCAAATCCTAATCTTGCTTTTGTGGCCAGCTTGTTCTTGGCCTAAAATATTGAAACATAATTTCCTTACATTCTACCTCTCTCTCTGTTTTATTCCTTAGAAACCTTTTTGTTCTCACTAGGACCTCCAGCTCTTACATCCTTCAGGGCTGTTCCCAGGTCATCACCCTTTCACTAACATCCCTTTACTTCCTTCCAAATGTGAAGGATGTATATGTATGTGTGTGTGTGTATGTGTGTGTTTGTGTTTTGCCTATTTAGGCTATGTATACATGTACATGGATTTTTCTAAAAATGGCTCAAAAGAAAGCATGGGTCCCCATGCCCCTACAAGGGAGACTTTGATTTGTGCTAGAGGGGAGCAGGCTGCTGGCCTAGTCTGCTGTCCTCAGAGAGACTAACAAGCCAGAGCCATATCTATCTGCCTCCTAAAAATTGCGAGCCTAGAGGAAGTTATTATTATTATTATTTTAGATTTAAGGCTCTTTTCTTTGTTGCCTTACCTTGACATAGAAAGAGTAGCTCAAACTATATTGGAAGGCTTGACTTCCTTCCTGCCACACTCGAGTTATGCAAAGCTGTCACAAATATCAAATGGTGTATAAACCCATTTATCCAAGCTGATAGCAAACAGAAATTGGAGAAGTATACAGATTAGAACAGAATTAGAAGCCTGGACATGCTTGGTTATCTACTCGGAAAAAAAGCAGAAAAGGCATTAGGGGCCTAAGGGCAAGTTGCCTAGTGGAATTCCCCCTACTCTAGTTGCCAAGTGGGAGTGATTGATATTCCCCACCCCCCTTCCACAGAAGTATCAAGTTCTATAATGTCCAGCTGGAAGATGGAAAGTAGAAGGGCTCCTCTTTTTAAGGTCTTTCTTTTTAAGTGAAATAGCATTTTGGCCCACTGTCACTGTCACATGGCTAAGGAAGGGCCAAGGGACCACTCAGGATTTTCTGGGTCATAGTAAAGCACAAGCCATTTCAGTTCTAGGTCACTACCAAATCCCTGGAAGTTTTCAGGGGACTTCTTGGCTCAGGCTTCCTTTGGATGGCCAATTCAACCTCTACTACAATATATTACCCCTCTTCCAGCACTTTCAGCCAAATTGGCCTTCTTGCTGTTCCACATGCGCAACATTCCATTTCTAACTCTCCTTGCTTTTCTTGATAGGGGAATCCAGCTGCTAGTAACACTTCTCTCAAATATCTCATATTTTCTTGTTTATATTTTGTGGATACTTATCAGAATAAGAATTGCTTCCCTTCCTCACTCCCCCCTTCCAAATACCATGTAAGTTCCTTAAGTGCAAAAACTATTTCATTTTTGTCTGTAACCCCAGAACCTAGCATAATGTCTCGTTTATTAGCAAATCTTTAATAAACCCTCAGTAAATTGATAATTAAAGAATCAAGTGAAAAAAGATCTTCCCCCTCTACTGCTGTCCCCTTCTACTCTAAACTCTGTTCCCCAAAGTCTTCAGCTCAAAAGCACCATGGCTTGGTCTTCCTCCCCCTTCTCTACCCCTCAGAGACGGGCCTCGGATTAGGGTCGGGTGTTCCTTAATCTCTGCCTCTGCCACTGCCCCTTCCGCAATTGGAGCCCGTGGGAGTGGTATCTATAAGAATTGTGAATGCGGTAGAAGACCTGACAGAAAGGCGAGATGGTTTCAGGAACCATGGCACCACGTCTTGTGCTGCTTCTGCTCCTCGTGGGATCATGTCTCAGGCCAGGTTCTGCTGTCGGCTTCGACTCCAGGGAGCGCGAGGCACGCCTCTACACAGCTGTTATCGAGGTGCCCAACGGAGGACCCTGGGGAGATTGGACGTGGCCCGAGATGTGTCCGGATGGATTCTTCGCCAGTGGCTTCTCCCTCAAGGTTGGGGGCTCTACGTCTGGGTCCCTGGGGAATCCAAGTTGGTAGTGGGGACAGGAGCTAGATGCCTGGGTCCCTGACTGGTGGTGGGAGGGGCTTGGAGACGTCATGCCCCCGGTTTCCTCCTATTGCCTGGGTTGGGAAACCAGGATTCCGATTCTTCATTCTCCACACTCCCTAAGGTCGAGCACCCCCAAGGCATCCCTGGAGATGACACAGCCCTGAACGGAGTCCGGCTTCACTGCGCCCTAGGCAACGCTGAGAGCAACACTCCCGTGGTGGAGTCTCAGTCGGGAAGGTATTAAAGCCTCTTCTCCGGTGACCCTAGAGACAGAACCCATTCCCCCCTCTTCTAGGAAACCAAGGAGGGATAGGATAAGGCCTTGAGGATACCTGAGACAAGATGCCCTGAAATTTTCTTAGCCGCTTCCAGTTTGACCTGTGCCCAAAGGCAGGCCCCTAATCCGAATCTTCTAGGGACAAGAACTTAATCTCCTCTGTAACTAGAAATCCACTGGGTAAGGGGGCTAGGAGAGAAAAGCTCGAGGATAGAGTGATGGGATCGTGTGTGTGTGTGTGTGTGTGTGTGTGTGTGTGTGTGTGTGTGTTACGGAAAAGTACAGACACCCCAGTGCTGAGTTTTCCCTTTCTTCGCACTGATTGGGAGTTCTCAAGGTGTACCGAAGGTAGATGGAGGCCAAAAGCTCTTTAACCAGAGTAAGGGAAGGTGAACAGGCCATACATTCCAGATCTTGTTTTTCCCTTGTGTGGGGGAGCTAAAAGAACCTTCCCTTATTCAACCTAGAATTTAGTCTATTTCCTGAAGATTTTAGGATTTGGAGAACTTGGGAACTGGAAGTCTGGTCCCGGGGAGACGGTGGGGGAGGGTAGTGTAAAACGGAGAGTTCCATACCCCAGTGGTCCACCCCCTCTGCTCTTCCCAAAGGTGGGGAGCATGGTCTGAGCCACTGTGGTGTCTCGATGGCGGCTTCCTCACCGCCTTCTCACTACGAGTGGAAGATTCCAGCACTCCAGGAGACAACACTGCAGCTAACAACGTGCGCTTTCGCTGCTCCGGCGGTGAAGAGCTAGAGGGGCATGGCCTGGAGTGGGGGGAATTCGGGTCCTGGAGTGACAGTTGCGCCAAGGGTGTGTGTGGCCTCCAAACCAAGCAGGAGGCTCCCCGTGGGATCTGGGATGATACAGCACTCAATGACCTTCGTCTTTTCTGTTGCAGCAGCTGAGATCCATCACAAATTGCTTATCGGTTTCTCTCCCCTCGAACTTCTCTCTCTTCCCCCAAACCTCTCACCAAGTCCTCCACAAAAACTGCTCAAAAGATAGTTTACTCCTTAAGGGAATCTAATGTTGCCCAGATTTGTGCTCCCCACATATACCCCACCTTCCCCAACCTTCTCTTTTATTCATCCATATTAAATCTCCCATTCCAATCCTCCATCTTCTGTGTTACTGAGGAACCTAGGTGTCAGCTGAACCCCTGTCTTCTTCCTATGTATTTCCCCCACTAAACTGTAAACTGCCAAGGAGGGCAGGGACCAGGTCTTGCTCTTGGTACCCTTCACTCCCACCCTCACTGTGTCCTGAACATTGGTTAGTGCTAGCTCAGTGATCTTGGGGGATGGGGATCTCTCCTCTTCTCACTGGTTTCTGCTTTCTAAGAATAAGTATTTCCCTCACAACAACCCTGTGAAGCAGTGCAATGGTTATTCCCATTTTGTAGATGACAAAATTGAAGCCACCAATTGGGCTTGAAACTTCCGACTCCTCACTCTCACTCTACATATCTAATCTGTTGCCAAATCTTGTACTTTGTACCTTCACAAATCTCTCTTCTATGTCCCCTTCTTTCCACTCACACAGGTATAACCTTAGCTCAATCCCTCATTGCCTTTCCTTCCACCATTGCAATAACCTTTTAACTAGTCTCCCTGCTGCAACTCTGTCCTTACTCCAAACCATTGACTACTCAAATGGTGAAGTGATTTTTTTCTAGTGTAGCTCTGACCATGTCATCACTCTGCTTAATGAGCTCCGGAGCTTCTTATTATCTCCAGAATCAAATATAAAGTCCTCTGGCATTTGAAGCTCTTAGTAACCTGACACCTTCTGACCTTTCTAGGTGTCTTACACTTTATTCTCCTCTGTACACTCTAAGATGTTTCTAGAACTAGACATTCAAACTCCCATCTCCATGCCTTTGCACCAACCCCATGCCTGGAATGCTCTGCCCTCTCACCTTTACCTCTTAGTTTCCCTGGCTTCCTTCAAGACCACTACAAGGTCTATCTTTTGCTGGAGGCCTTTCCTGATTCTCCTAGCTGCTGGTGTCTTCCCTTCTCAAATTACATTCTATTTAATCTTTATATATCTTTTAAGTTATGTACAAGTTGTTTTCACCCATTAAAATGTAAGCTCCTTGAGGGCAGGGAACACGTTTGCTTTTCTTTGTATTCCTGGCATATAACATTGTGTCTAGCACATACTAAGTGCTTAATAAAAGATTGCTTAGTAATTTGCCTAAAAATAATACGGCAAACCCATTTTGCCTGACTTCTGTTCCAACACTCTCTCCTCTGGGAAAGACGCTGTGGTATCCATGGAGAACAGCACTTTTAGAGTCTTGGTTTGAGTTCAAATCTTGATCATGCCATTTATTGTTATATAATATTGGGCATGTCAAAACTTCCCCAGTCTTCAGTTTTTTTTTTCCACCCTAATAGAAGAGTTGGACCAGATAGATGGCCCTTGAGATACTATGATCCTATGGACATAATAAAAAGTATGCTAGATTTGGAATCAAGATATGGATTCTAATCCCTCCCTCTGACTCAGCTTCAGGGAACTCTATAAAACCTAGTATTACAGATTGTTTTCAACATCTTTTCTCACTCTCAGGAAATACATCTCAAGTCACAGTGTTCTTGGGAAGCTCAAATGAGATAATGTACATTTTAACTTTAAATGACTTATTTTAGTTATTACTACACTACACTGACTCTAGCTGAGTCAAGACTTTTCCTAGCTGGGAGTCGACTATTGTCCCTTAGCCTTGTGCAGCCCTCAGTGGAAACCTGATTGAGCAAGGCCAAAGGACACCCAAAGGTTTCTCCTGGTCCAGCTGGATAGGAGAGAGGAGAACGAGGGTTCTCAGATGAGACAGAGACAGCGTCGGAGGCATTGCGAATCAGGGTACTTTATTTCAGCTGATGGAGGGTGAGTGGAGAAGAGAAGTGGGGACAACCCACCCCAGCTCGTTGGAAACAGCTTTCTGGCAGACTCTTGAACCTCGCAGCTTCAGTGCTCAAGAATCTGGAGGAGGAATAAGAAAAGAGACCATTCCCAGCCGTTCGCAAGCCCAAGCCCCCAGCCCCAGCACCTCCGCCGCAGACCTCAGAGCCCTTACCTCCTTTTTTCCGGCAGTCCCCGCAGAAAACTCCTAGGACACCATTCACTAGCTGTATGCCGCACAACACTAGCTCCAGAGCTGACACCACCGCCAGCAGCGCGAACAGAGTCAAGTTCCACAAAATCACTTTCGGAGGCTCCAGGCACTGGTCCCACAACGAACTGTTGCTCAGGTAATTCCCACTACGGAGGCAAGGTCCAAGGTAGAAGACTAAGCAAGGGGTCATCGCGAAACTCCTCACGCGAGGAAGGATAAAGGTATCCCGCACACACCCAGTGGGACGGGGCGGGGCTTCCTTTTAGCTTGGGAGTGGGTTTATCCCACTGGGTGGAGGAGTGCGCTCTGGGTCTTGCCTGTGTTTGGGAAGACAAAGCCTGGGATTTTTCTATTGGAACCGGGAGGTTTTCTGAGGTGTTGGGCGGGGAAGGTCAGATCTGGCCTTACTTGCTGTTTTCGAAGGGGTAGCTCCACTTGTTAGGTAGCTCTGTCAGGCATTTGGGCCCAGTCTCAAGCCCTGTTGCGGACACCGAGAGGCAGTAAAGGGCTCCGATAGCCCCGATAGCCGAAGAGAAGACGGAGCTCAGCATCTGGAAAGCAGGGCACAGGGATCTGAAACTAGTGACTAAATGACTAAATTTTAGTCCAGTCCTTTCATTTTGCGAATTAGGATACGAGGGCAGAGTAGTAAAGTGACCCAAGATTATATCCAGGTATTAAGTGACAGAGCCCACATTCAGACTCATATCCTTTGCTTTCAAATCCAATACTCTTTCCACGGTTTGGAAGTGGAGAGGCTCAGTGATCCCTTGCCCCACCCTCCCCAGGGTAGCCCCAGCATTACTGCTCCCAGACTAAACCCTACCTCCACAGCCTCCACTGACTTATTGTCTATTTAAAAATACACCTCCCTAGCCTGTAGGGCACAAAATTAAGAATTAATCCCTGTGGGTTTCCAGGGAGGTGTAATACTCTCGTCCTCTGGAGGAAGGGAGATATGTTGACTCTTGGAGCTAGAAGGGACCTTGAAGACTATCTAGTGCAATTCTTTCATTTTACAGAAGAGGAAACTGAGGCCCAAAGAGAAAAAATGTCTTGTCCAAGGCCATTTATGGGGAGTTAAAGGGACTAAAACATTTGTCCTGTTTCCCAAGAACAGTGTACTTTCCAATTACTTAAAAGATCACTTATTCAAAAGAGGCAGTTGTGCTATCCTTGACCTAGCATTGACAAGGAAGGGATCAGGACATTTTGGATTTCAACCTGTCTGACTAGCTATGTGACCTTGGACAAGTCAGATTGTAGGAAGGGATCTTAAAGCTCATCATTCACTAGGCCTAACCAGGTACCAAGAGCACATTCCCCACACAGGATGTCTTCTAACAGCATCCCCAAGCCATCTCTGGGTGAAGCAAAGGAAGTGGTGCTTAATCACCATGTACTTACTGATCTAGCTTCTAAATGCTGATGATACAACTGTGCCAACCTGGATCTACTACAAATATATTGTTTGATTTCAACTGGGCCCTTGCTGCTGCATGGCAGTCCATCTATTCTTTGAGTGACTCCATCACACTCCCTCCCTAGAAGAGCTATTCCAGATCTTCTCTTTTCTTCTTACATGCTAGCTATTATTATATCTCCCTCCCACCCTCTGTATTCCCTAGCAGAGGCCAGCCACTCCTACTTTACTGAGAAAATAGGTCATGAGATCCCCCTTCTTTATTAAAATACCTCTATATAACCACTACCATGCACAGTCTCTCCTCCTTTGAACCAGGCTCTGATAAAGCAGTCATTCTTCTTGTCAAAGACAAGTCCTGTAATTGTGTCGTTTACCTCATTCCCCAATGTCCCTTCTAGGAGCTCGTGTCTTTCTCATTATGTCTTGTTCTCATTTTCAATCTCTATTTATCACTGACTGGCCACTTCCCTTTGACCTATAAACATATCCAGGTCCATCTTCCCCCATCCTTAAAAACAAACCTTTCACTGGACCCTGTCATTGCCTCAAACAATAGTCCCAAGTGTTACCTCTCTTTTACAGCCAAACTTCTTTATTTGGGGGAGGGGAAGCTATATTTCCTTACCTCCTACTCATTTCTCAACTTCTTCAACCTGGCTCTTGAACCCTTTGATTAAATGTGCTCTCTCAACAGAGTCAAGAAAATATATAGTGACTACAGCTATATAAATGGACACCAAATAATTGATGTATTTTGTGAAATTTTAAAGAACAAGCATGGCCCCAAAGAAAAGATATGAAAAGATACCTCCCCCACTCCTTTGCAGAGCTGGGAGGTCTACGGGTGTGGAACTTTGAAACTGCTCTCTTCAAGGTCACCAACAATTTCTTAGTTGCAAACCCTGTATACTCAGTTGACTGCCAAGAATTATAGATTTCACCTCCAAAACATCTCTTCCATCAGTCCCCTTGTCTCCATGGACAAGGGCACTACCCTAGATCAGACTCATTACTTTTATCTGGATCATCATGCCAGCCTTCTAATTGGAGTCCTTGCCTTAAATGTCTTCCTTCTCCAATGCTTTCCCTACACAGCACCAAAATCATCTTCCTAAGCATTCTTAGCTCTCAGGCTGTATAAAATGAGGCCACATGCTGGATTCCATAGTTTGCCAAGCCCTGGACAACTATTACATTAACCTTCTTGCCTTAAGTATCTTTTCTCTCCTATTCATTTTCCATAGAGTTGCCAAAATCATCGTCCTAAGGCACAGGTCTGACCATGTTATTTCTATAATTAAAAGTTTTCGGTGGCTTTTTATTGCCTCTTGGATAAAACACAAACCTCTCAGCCTGGCATTTAAAAGTCCTTTCCTTTTGGCTCCAGTTTTCTCTTCCAGGTTTATTTCACATTACCAACTTTCATCCAATCTATATTTCAGCCAATCCATTCCATTTACTACTCCTGGGCCTTGGCACAAGCTGTTTCCAATCCTCCTCTCTACTCCTCATCCCTATCCCAGTAGCTGGAATGAACGCAATCAATTTATCAACAATCAATTCCGTTCAGCAAGCATTGATTAAATGCCCACTTCATGCAAAGCACTGTGCTAGGCACTGGAAACACAAAGACAGAAGAAAGCAAAATTGAGTCCTCAAGGAGCTTATATTCTGCTGAAAGGAATATTGTATTATACAGTTATGTAAATGCCAAATATCTATAAAGTTATTTGGAAATAGGAGGAGAGCATTCAAAACCAAGGAGGGAAATCAGCTAAGGCTTGTGTAAGAGCTGGCATGTGGGCTGAGCCTTGAAGGGAGTTCAGGATTCCAAGAAGCAGACGGTTCTTAATAAATACTTGTTGAATGACTAATGTGGAAATGTTTAATTTGATTGTACATGTATAGCCTATATCAGATTGCTTGCCATCTTGGGGAGGGGGCAGGGTGGAGGGGAGAGAGGGAGGGAGAAAAAGTGTGGAACTCAAAATCTTATAAAAGTAAATGTTGAAAACTATCTTTACATGTAATTGGAAACAAACCAAAATACTATTAAGTGAAAAAAAAAATGCTTGCTACAAAATAAATAAATAAATAAATGCTTGTTGATTGATTGATTTCGTGCATTCCAGCTATTGGGAGGAGAAGGCCAAGGGAGAAAAACAGCTCATACAAAGGGCCCAGAAACAGGAAATGGAATGCTGAGTTCCCAGAGAATAGTCAATCAGTCAGATTATTTACTTGAACATAGATTGTGTAAAAGAGAAAGGAGTCTGAAGGAAAAGCTACAACCAAATTGTGAAGGGCTTTTAAATATCAGGCTGAGAAGTTTGTGTTTTATCCAAGAGGCAATGAAAAGCCCACTAAAGATTTTTGATCATAGAAAGGACATGGTCACACTTGTGCTTTGAAAAGATGATTTTGGCAACTGTGTGGAAGATGAATAGGAGAGAAAAGATACTTAAGGCAGGAATGTTAATGTAATAGTTGTCCAGGGCTTGGCAAACTATGGAATCCAGCTAAGAATGCTTTTTATATTTTTAAACACATTTTTATCTAATTTAAAAATGTGTAAACCATTCATAGTTCTCTGGTCATACAAACAGGTGGCAGGCAGACTTGGCCCTCGGGTCATAGTTTGCTAATGGCTGCTATGTAAAAGGTGATAAGGACCTCAACTATGGAGTTAATGGAGAGAAAAGGACTGACAGAAGAGATGCACTGATGTTTTAGATGTAGAATCTATAAGACTTGTCAACTGATTGGACAGGGAGTTGAAAGAGAAGGAAGACTGCGGGCTGACTGTGAGATTGCAAATCTGGATGACTTTAAGGATAGATTTGACAAGCAGGAAAATTAGGAAGAAGACAAGGGTTTAGGGAGAAAGATAATGAGTTCTGTTTTGAGTCTGAGTTTGAGTACTGAGCTTGAGATGCCAATGGGACACCCAGGTAGAGATAGCCAGGAAGCAGCTGGTGATATAAAACTGGAGAAATGTGGCCTAGATGTGTGTATTTGGGCATCATCTTCAGGGATGATGGGATCAACAAAAGGGAGAGAATAGTGAGTGAAGAGAAGGGAATCCAGTAGGTGATTGAGAAATCCATGAACCTAATCCCTTTCATTTAACAGGTGAAGAAACTGAGGCCATTTCTCACATTATTATTATTATCATTATCATTATCATTATTATTATTAATGGCTAGTAGTTGTATAGCACACTAAGGTTTGCAAAGGGCTTTACAAATTTTTTTCTAATTTTATCTTCTCTGCACCTCCATTTTCTCACCTATAAAATAGGGATAATTATATCTTACTGGGTTGAAAACCTTAAAGTACCATTTACATGGAAAAGACTAAAGCAGGGGTGGGGAACCTGTGGCCTTGAGGCCACATGAGGCCCTCTAGGTCCTCAAGTTCTGCCCTTTCACTGAATCCAAACTTCACAGAACAAATCCCCTTAATAAAAGGATTTGTTTTGTAAAACTTGAACTTAGTCAAAAGGCTGTACCCAGGCTAGAAGGCCACATGTGGCCTCGAGGCCAAAGGTTCTCCACCCCTGGGCTAACGTATTTTTAAAGACTGTGATAGGGAGGGAGGGAGGAAGGACTAGAGAGTAGGCCCCAGATGTGAGGGGTGGGGGTGCTTAGACGAGTAATGCGTGCAAAGAGCACCTGATGGTGAATAGTGAGTGGGTGTGGGTGTGGGCCTTACCCGACAACGATTTCCACAGCAACCAGCTCCACAGCACCCTTTGCCCCCAGCTCGAATAGCAGATATTCCAGGACATAGCACCTATAGGGGAAAAGGGAGAGGAATGATTATCAGACCTCTGCCCACCAAGACTGAAAACACAGCCAGACAGATTGATAACTCTCAATTTCTATTCCTATTCCCACCATCTTTTTTTCTTGGTTAGAAATGATGGAAGGGAAAGTGCTGACTTAGGGAAAGGGATAAACTGGATGTCAGCATCTGAGATATGATGGGGGTAACACGTTTGTAGGGCTCATCTTGGATTCTGGAATACCCTGAGGATCAGTCCTGGGGTCACTGTCTTTCTCTCCCTATTTTCTCCTTTGTCAATTCTCCAGGACCTCCATTACATCATTTATTGATGATTCTCAAACTTACATCTCTAATCTGGACTTCTCTTGCTCTAGACGTACATTTATGGATTCAGAGATTGTCAAAGAGTTATAAGGAATTATAAAAATAATCCAGTTCACCCTGTCTCCCACCCTTTATTTTACAGAAGAAGACAATAGGGCACAGAGAGATCAAGTGGCTAACCCCATCACTTATAAATCTAGTTAGCAGTAGAACTGAGGTTGAAGCCCTGGTCTTCTGATTAGGTTGCATTATCATTTAACTTCAGTTTCCTCATCTATAATATGGAGTATTTATATATATATATATATATATATGTAATTATAGTATTATATATAATACATATATAATATATAATAATTATATTTATATATAATTATATATATATACTTATATGTTGTTAGGAACATACCTTGTAAAACTTAAAATGCCAAAGTCTTTTCCCATTTCCTTTTTAAACCACTAGCTTTATTGCCACCACATGCACAGCCTTTCCATTATTTGCCTATTATTAACAATCCTCACTGGTGCCTCCAAAATTCCTGTCCCTCTCTTTCAATTAGAAACAGAAGGCAACTGGGAAGGAGTACAACAGGAAAGATGAGGGTTAGACCTTGGGAGAAACTTCCTCAATATGAATGAGAGCATACCTGGGACCAGGGATCAGGGATGGGGAGCAGGGTGGGTGGAGATGCCTTATCTATACCATTTCAGCAGCTTTAAAACAGACTAGATCACAGGGTTGAGGGGCGATATCTGTGTATCTCAATCTCTCTTCCTGTCCAATTAAACCTCAAAATAACTTAAATAGGATTAAGAGTGGATAAGAGGAAGAGGAAAACCAGGAAGGCCTATCCTCACTAGTGTCCCAACCACCAAAATATCAACATGAGAAGAGAAAGGGTACTGGGCCCAGAGGTAGGACAGAGAGAAAGACCCTTGGCAGGACCATTACTGTCTCTTTCTGGCTCAGTATCACTGTGTCTGTCCTTCTCCCTCCCTTCTGCCCTAGCCAATGCTGATTATTGTGCATTGATGACCCCCAACCCATCAGCTACTCTTCCTGTCTCAACACAGACTGGGTAGTCAGGTGTTTTCACCACCCCTCCAAATAAAAGGAGTAATTGGCAGAGACAGATACACCCCTAGAAAATAGACTGGGGATCCCAGGAGAGAAGTTGGTTAGGAAAATGGGGCTCTCCACCTTCAGAAATCTCATTATAATATTGTTGTCATTCCACCCCAAATGCCATCTCTTTAGGGACCCAAGGTCCCCCCAAACCCCTAACCCCAGCTCTATCCCTGTTTCCACCATCTGTCTTACCATAATGCCTCCACCAATAAAGCCTGCCAAGAGCTTCACATGCAGGCTGAGATGTTCAGTCCATTTGGTCTCGCCATTGGGCACCAGAAGGAGGATGTTGGCCACTATGCAGATGAGGGACATTGGGATGAGGCTGAGCCCAACACATCGGGCACACTTCCCTGTACACATGATGAGTGGAGGAGAGGCACCTGGAGGGAGAACAAGAAATATAGAAAAGCAGAGAGAGTTGAGGTGAGAGAAAGTGATTGTGGTATCTCAGGAAAGGGAGCCTGCTGCAAGGGACAAAGGGCAGGTGGGAGGTGTGGCAGAAACCTGGAACCAGGAAAGATCGATGAGGGAGAGACATAAAGTGGAAAGAGGCAAAAGCAGGGGTGATGACGTTTGTGGCTCTGTGTGGGGCAAGAAGGAGAGGATGTGGGAGAAGGGAGAGGCTGACGGTCAAAGAAGAAGTTGTCAAGACCAATACCTGCAGTCGCTTGCTTTGCATTGCTCCAGAACCCCTCCACAAGTTTTCAGGAGACCTTTTCCAGGCAGAGAAATCCCAAGTTCCTTTGTTCTCCTGAGACCAGGGCACTCCCTTTGAGATTGGAAAACTATCCCAGGTGGAAAGAAAAATAGCAGACAGAAAAAGCACGGCTAGAGCTCAGGAACTGGGTTTCCTCACAGAATGGACCATGCATCTCCTGAGGGATACATGGAAAAATGTCGAGCTTCTCTTTCATTTTCTTGCCCCTTTCAGAGACAGAAGGCCACAGTGAGAAACCACTTCCTCCTCCTTAGAGCAGGACTTAGTGTAGGACTGAGACTTAAGTATAGCAGAAATTATGGAAAGAACCCTTGAATTAGATGTCTTAGACATCTTAAACTGAACATGTCCAAATCTAAACTCATTATCTTTCCCCCCAAATCCTCTTCTTTTCCCAACTTCCCTATTACTGTTGAGGGTGCCTCCACCTTCTCAGTCACCCAGGCATTCCAAGTATCATCTACAACTTGTTACTCTCACCTCCGCATTATATCCAATCTGTTGCCAAGGCCTGTCAATTTTTACCTTTGTGTCATCTCTCCCACATAATCCTTTTCCTTCTGACACTGCCATCACACTGGTGCAGGCCCTCATCACCTCACTCCTAGACTATTGATTGGTGTCCCTGCCACAAGCCTCTCTCCATTCGAGTCATCCGCCACTCATCTGTAAAAGGGATCTTCCTAAATTTGAAGATGTGACTATGTCATACTCACCCCTAGCCTCCAGCGGCTCCTTATCACCTCTAGGATCAAATATAAAATCCTCTGTTTAAAGCCCACCCCTACCATTCCAGTATTCTTATACTTTACACTACACTCCACCCCCTCCAAATACTCTTTGATCCAGTGACATTGGCCTCCTTGCTATTTCTCAGACAAGGCACTCCATCTCCCCACTATGAGAGTTTTCACTGGCTGTCCCCCATGCCCAGATGGCTCTCCTCATCTCCACCTTTTGGCTTCTGTAGCTTCCCTTCAGCTAAAATCTCACATTCTACAGAAAGCTTACCCCAGTCTTTCTTAATTCTAATGCCTTCCCTCTGTTGGATTATTCCACATTTATCCTGTATTTATGATATATATATGTATATATATATATATATATAATATATCCTGTATATATTTGTACATAGTTGTTCACATATTGGCACTGTCTTTTACCTTTCTTTGTATTCCCAGAAATTAGCATAATACTTGGCATATAGTAGGAACTTGATAAATGTTTGACTGATTGAATCAGAGGACTAGACTGGGTAGGACCTGAGACTTACTGGGAATTGGGAGATCTCTGAGTACTACTGTGGAAGTCTAGGTGTTAGCCAGGATAGGATAGAAGATCCTCATGGATCTTCCTCCCCACTGGCACCTTCCTAAATTACCTATAGACCTATTCAGTTTTTCCATAATTCTAAGATTAAAAAAGTAATAATAAAAATTTTTAAATTGAAAAATTAAATCACCTTCCCTTGTTCCTTCTACCCTATTCAGCTACTGCCCCATTTCTCTCCCCCTCTTTATTACTTAATTTCTTTGAAGAGCTGTCCTCACACTAAGTTACCACTTCCTCATTGTCTACTGCCTGAAACTACTTTCAGTCTGACTTCTAGACTTACCTTCTAAATGCCAAATTCAATGACAGCTTCTGAGTCCTCACCCTTCTGGATGACCTCTTAAAAAATTCTAACGCTTGCTGACTATCTGCTGGCAGCTTGGTGGCACAGTGTATATAATGTTGAACTTGAAGTCTGGAAGATCTGAGTTCAAATTTCACCTTAGATACTTAACTGTGTGACTCTGAATTAGTCACTTAATCTTTCAGCCTCAGTTTCCTCTTTTGTAAAATGGGGATAATAGCTCCCATGGTAGTGGATTATTGTGAAGGCAAATGAGATAGTATATGTAAAGAACTTGTTAACTATGTTAATACTAGTATAAAATACTAGTATAAAAGAAAAATATTAATATTTTACTATGTATTTTAAGTAAAAGTCTACCAAACTATTGAATGTATTCATCTAATATTCAAGCATTTCTAGTTTGGAAAGAGAGGTCCAGATTGTCATAGTTTTCCCATTCCCTCTTATATGTGTCTCTATCCCAAGAAATTTTAGGCAACATTTATAGAAATCTGCAAGAAGAAAATCATAATATCTAAAAATTCAGTCTGGGGTTAATTTTCCAGAATAGTTGAGTAACAAAGTCACTATCTGATTCCTTCCTTGACTATTCCTCTCAAGGAATCAGTAGGACTTCTCCCAGAGATCAGTATTGAGAATCTCTTCTGAATAACAGGAGAGGGAGCTTTCCTTCAAATGGAAGAGGGCACTTCCCTTGGCAATAAAGAACACAAGAGGTGGGGCAGCTAGGCGGGGCAGTGGATAGAGCACCAGCCCTGGATTCAGGAGTACCTGAGTTCAAATGCAGCCTCAGACACATAACACTTACTAGCTATGTGACCCTGGGCAAGTCACTTAACCCCCATTGCCTAGCCAAAAAATTAAAAAAAAAAAAAGAACACAAGAGGCCATTTTTGTTTAAACCAGTTACCATCTTTTAAACCATTGGCTTCCCTTTTGTCCTCAATCTATTTCTTACTTATTCAAGGAACCTTTTCAAGGAGTCTGAAAAGGGCTTTTTAGACTAGAGAAAATATTTCTTAATATTTTCAGTTTTACTTAAAAAATGAAACAAAACACTTTTTAGACCATAATGGAAAATGCTATCTACAGCCAGAGAAAGAACTATGGAGTCTGAATGCAGACTGAAGCATACTATTTTCACTTCTTCTGTTTTTTTTTTCTTCGTGGTTTTTCCCTTTTGTTCTGTTTCTTCTTTCACAACATGACTAATCTAAAACTATGTTTAACATGATTTTCCATATATAACCTCTATCAGATTCTTTGCCATCTTGGAAAGGCAGAGTCAGAAAAATTTGGAACTTAAAATCTTATAAAAAGTGAATATTGAAAACTATCTTTACATGTAATTGGAAAAAATAAAATTCTATTAAAACTTTCTAAAAAACTTTTCAAATATGCTTCCACACTTGCTGTTACTGAGTATTTTCTACTCTCCTGGCATTAGTTACCTTTATCCCCCACCTGTCTATTTTCTGTCCCCTTTATTGCCTCCCCATCTACTTCTCAACCTTTTAAAATAGATGTTCCCTAAAATTCAGTCCCTTACCCTCATCTCTCCAGAGAAGAGCTATGTTGTCTCTCTTGGTAGCCTCATTTGAAACTTAATTTAATCTAACTTTAATTTAAACTTAAATGCTATGTGTGAAGTACATGCTCCCAAATCTGTATCTTCAGTTCTGATAACTTTTCTAAGTTCCAGACCCATTTTGTCAGAAGGACACAGCACATTGAGATTCATAAAACATTTTTATGTTTGACACTTGTGACCTTGACCTCCTAACTGGGCCCTTTTGGGTTTGGCTGTTGCTCAAGTGTTGTCTTCCTCAAAATTATAAAAAGACAGTTTGTCCCTCTTAATTATTGAATGAAAGGACTCAATACCTAAATTGCCCACCAGATGGCGCTTTGTTTGAGCTACCAGCCTATGTTTGTCAAGGGTTGTCTTTCTTAAACCTAAAGAAAGACAGCTTGTCAGTCTTTATTATTGAATGAGTTCAATATCTGAATTGGCCACCAGATGGCGATCTGCTTGAGCCCAGGTTGGTCAGAGGAGGGTCCAGACTCAAACATGGGACCTGACCTTGTGCCAAGAGGTAACTGAATGGCTCTGGACAGGTGCCAACTGTCAGCTTCTGTCACTCACTACCCAGTGCTGGGACCCAGATCCACTGGGGGACCTGTGAAGGGTTCCAGAGCTAAGGGTTGTTAGTTGACGGCAAGGAGTGGTCATTGGCCCTAGGCTGTGTACTGATGGAATAACAACAACAAACATTTATATAGAACCTACTATGTGCCACTCATTGTGCTAAACATTTTTCAAATATTATCTCCTTGATCCTTGAAACAACCCCATGAGATACGTGCTATCATTGTCCTCATTTTACAGTTGAGAAAACAGGCAAAAAGAGGTTGGCTTGCCCAGGGTCACACAACTAATAAGCATCTGAGGCTTGATTTGAACTCATGCCTTCTTGACTCCAGGCCCAGCTGTCTAGCCACTGTCTAGTCTAGTTGCATACAGTTAGGTGACTCTGACCCTGGGAGCTGAGTAGGGTCTCAGTTTTAGAGGGCCCCCAGCCCCAGTATGAAGCCTGCAGCAGAATAACCAAGGCAGGAATTCTAGAACAAAGGGGAACTTTCATTTCTCTACCATACCCCTCCTTTCTTATCTCTCCCTCCTCCTCCTTTTAGCTTTCTTTTGTGTTCTGTCTTCACCCATAAGAATATAAGCTCCTTGAGGTAAGGCACTTATCTCTTGCCTTTCTTTGAAACCCCCCCCCCCCCCCAGTCTTAGCTAGGTGCCAGGCACTTAGTAAGAACTTAATGTTTATTGACTGATTCATTGTTCTTCCGAACCTTCACAGCTTTCCAGAAGACTAGAATTCCAGAAGACTGAATTCCAACCAGGATATGTCCATTGCTTGGACCCAAACCCAGGAGCTGAGAGTACAGAGTTCACACCAAGAAAACAGAACTCATACTTCACTCTGGTTTCACTTTGGGATTACTAAAAGTTTCCAGATCCCCAGCATGAGCTGTCTTTGAGATCCTGGAGCAACACAACTATAAGAGGAGTTTGGTGCATGTCCCTATTACCTAAAATGGCATCACCTATGTGGGAGTACTGGGCAGAGGAGGAATGGCACATGCATGGATATTCTGGTTAGCCAACTATGTGGTTGGGAGCAGCCTCTTCGGCTTGCCTGTGTAGCCAGAACTGTCTGTCTTTAAAATTATCTGATTGGGGCAGAATGTCTGTATCTCTTCCCCTCTCCTGTCCTCTCCTCTCTCTCAGCCTGGCAGGGCTTGAGGGCCACTTACCTTCCCCCCCTGCCTCGCCCCTCCAAGCCATGGCCCTGACAAACAGACTTGGGGTTTTGGCCTTTCATTGGTCATTTTCACATCTATGTGTGGGGAGTAAAGTGGGGTGGGTGGAGGAAAGTTAGGCTTGGGTTATCTCACATAATTGGGGTCTGCTATTAAAAGACTATACAAACAAGGAAGGAGGAGGGGACTGGGAGACATGAATTTCACTTTCATATGAACTGGTCAAAAGAAAAAAGA